CTGAAAAAAAGAAAAAGGAAGGTCAGCATATAATGATGTATTAACGTTCAGTCTACGTATGAAGTTATATGATGTTATGATAAAAGAAGTGCCTTTGTGGGCGGAACTTCCGAGAGAGAATGATGTTGAGGTTGATGTTAAAAAAAGGACTGGCATTACGGTTGCCATTTGTATCTGTGCCTCGTGTATCACAACTATCACAGCATGATGATATGGCAGAGTATTGATCCTGATTGCGGAGAGGAGTTGGGGAGGGGAGGTGGACAGGAAGACAGAGCGAAATCATATTTCGAATATGAAAAAGAGAGATGAAAGGCCACTTTATATAGCTGGGGATGACAGGACATACGGTGCCACTGATATGAAATCTGCCTTCATCAAAAGAAGCTTTTTTCTACCTAAAACGTATTCAAACCAATTGAAATACAGCATCTAATCTGATCAAATATATTACAAGGCGGATCGTATGCGCTCAACTTGCAATAAAGCAAAGTGGAAAATATTAAGAAACATTAGTTGAAATACGAAGTAGATAAGCTTCTAGGCAGATTGCCTGTGTATTCAAGTTTCGTTTCTCTCTTCATTTATCTTATCTACTCATCTTTTTATGTAACCGATTGTAACAGCATCTTCAAAATAGTCACAGAGTTAGAGTTCCTTATTTTTGCCATTATCTTATCTCAAATTTCAGGTCCGTATCAGATAAAAAAAGAAATTATTGTGTTACTGAAAGTTTAAGACTACAAATCTGCATTCTCAAATAATATTAATGATAATCCGTCGGTCGTACCTACTAAAATTCATCTTAATATTTTACATTACTGTTTATTCAGTTCTTATCAACAACGAAAGATTATACCAAGTAAATTAGGCTTATAAATCTACGGCACCGTCCACCCGCATTTCACTACCGGAGGCAGGAGTCCGTTTCGGGATATCTGATAGTGTTTGGGCATGCTATAACCGTGTATCATATGCAACAAAGTTAGCAGTGAAATATGATTATGTTATATCCTAAATTTGTAAATTAATACTAAAATATAATGTTATAGTCTTATATCAACGCCTGTGCACTTATGTTTGTTCGAATTGTACGGATGGGTTGTTCGTGTTCGAAACCCTCATCTCCCATAATGCATAGCAAGTAAACAAACAAGATAGACGCCACAATCACGTTTGGTGTGTCCTATTATTGTTGAACCATTGGGTAAAAACAACTATATTTATACTTGTGTTGACTGATAGACACACCTGTTTCCATGCACACATGTTTTGAATAAAAGAAGTGAGGAATAAAATAGACGATTGTTTCTATTGATCGTTAAGATATGACCAAACCAGTTGGATAACAACTACATGCCTGTTTTATCAGAATATCTAACAGACTTAAAACAATAAAACTTTATCCTATGATCTAAGTATAAGAAACAAATTCACCTCACCCAACTCAGTTTGTTCTCTTGGGTCCAACTATTCGAGAAAAAGTTTTCATACTAGTTTGCTTGTCTAACCCAGCCCAGGTGGAAGCAAACTTCCGAATGCCCAGTAGTATTACTCAGCGTACTAAATAAATAATTAGATTAAACATTTAAGAAGGTAATATCAAAAGTTTATGTCTTCGTGATTGTCTATGTCTCACACACACACACACGCACACACACACACACACACACACACAAACACACAAACACACACATACACGCGCGCGCGCGCGCGCGCGCGCACGCGCGCGCACGTGTCCGTGCGTGTACGTGTGTGTGAGTGCGTCCGTGTGAGTAAGTATATATGCCATTATCTGATATTTACAAGTCATTCACAATCCACAATACTCCTGTGGTTATAATTATTTAACTCTTAGGATCTAACTACCCACATTTAACTACCTTATTTCCAATTGTGAGGTTAGCGGTAAATAACGGACTAAATTAACTAACCTAAATTATTAACATTTACGTTGTGCCTTGTATACAAGAATAGTTTACTGCAACGTCGTTAATAAGAGAGTTCACAAATGGGCCAGCACGACGCCAGCAGCGTTGGCAGACATACTCTGTGCAACAGAATTCTTATTGCCTCGGGGTCTTGTGTTTTCTTTTTTCTTTGTGGTCTTCTTTGTATATTAATTTCTTTCAAAACAAATAGTGGCGATGAAATTGTGAAATGCATTAAATGCATACCGCATCTGCGCAAATTCAGCATTCACTTTATCTGGATATCTCATGATATACAAAGTACAACCACCTAGATTTGGTAAAGATGCTGACAAATATGCTGTCGAAATAGATTTTGGGATGTCTCTTGTTTGGGTTGCACACATATTGAAAAGTTCTAACAAGAGCAAATGATAGAGCTAACCAACTGAAAAGGCCTGAAAACTCATACGGCACAGGTGGCACTGAAATAAACTAGAAAATATGACGAGGCGATTGCCAGATTACGTTTAAGCTATCAGAATGTACCAGCAATTATATGGTGCAAGAAGTACAAATGAATCTAGATGTAGACTGTAACGAGGAAAATAAACACTTCAACATTTTATCTCAGTGTCATATAATAAAGCCTTCCAGACCACCTATCGTCAGATAGTAAGAGCTATTAAGACTGGAAGGTATACTCGTGCTATATCCTCACTTTTCTATGTAAAGTTACTGTAATCGTAGAACATTGTAATGTAAACCCAATGACAAACGCGTATCCGATCTGAATTTTATATTAACCATGTAAAATTACAGTAATATATGTAAATGCAAAACTCTGTAATTATGGCTGCAGTTAGCCCGGGTGGTTGATAAACTTACTTAGCCACATTTCTTTCTTGATATATAATAAGACTTGAACATTGTACAGTGGTTTGATAAACATGCAGTTTGTACGGTTTTCACTTCCTTAACTATAATTTTTTTTTCTAACAATGAAACTTTCCACTTTCCGTCTCCCTTCTGCTTTCTTCTATTTTCTTACCCTTCTTTCCCGATCCCCAAGATAATCTGACATGAGTGTGTTTACCTCCGTGTACGCACACACACACACGCACACGCCTATGTGTGTATGAAAGTATGAATAGTAACAGACACAGTGGTAATGATGTGTAAGTAATCGCTCGAATGCAGGAAAAAAAGTAAGCGATGACTGATGGGATGGTTTTGGGTCGAGATATGAATGTATATGTATGAATAGATAGATGGATGGATGGATGGATGGATGGATGGATGGATGGAGGGATGGAGGGGTGGAGGGAGGGAGGGATGGATGTAATGTATATATGTATGTATAGTTGAATAGGTGTGCGTGTGTATATATATATGTGTGTGTGTGTGTGTGTGTGTGTGTGTGTTTATGTGTGTGTGTGTGTGTGTGTGTATGTGTGTGTGTGTGTGTGTGTGTGTGTGTGTGTGTGTGTGTGTGTGTGTGTGTGTGTGTGTGTGTGTGTGTGTGTGTGTGTGTGTGTGTGTGTGTGCATATACATACACATACACATATACATATATACACTTAAACATATACACATACAAAAGGATAAGTACATACATAAATGCATATATGTAAAAACACATATACATATTCCACAAAATCCAGCCCCCAGAACAAAAATGAAATATGAAATATTGATAAAGATAAAGCAGCTTCTTCCAATATCCCAGTCTCATCCCTTTACGCCTCCCGCCACTACGGAAGGACTTAAGACACAAACTTTCCCAAAAGAGAGTCTCCAGATGGCTATGAGAAAAGGGTTCCTAAATTTCAGTATGTTAAAATATCAAACTTTTTAACCCATTCATTATCTATTTTTTTAATTATGTTTTTATTACTATCATCAATATTACTATCATTATTATTATTGCTATTATTATTATTGTAACCATAATTATTATTATTATTATCATTATTATTATTATTATTATTATCATTATTATTATTATTATTATTATTATTATTATTATCATTATTATCATCATTATTCTTGTTGTTATTATCATTATTATCATTATTAGAAGTATCATCATCATCGTCAACATCATCATCATCATCGTTACCATAATTATTATCATTATCATTATTATTATTACTATTATTACTATTACTTGTTTAATTACTATTATTATTACTACTACTACTACTATTATTAATATTAATATTATTATTACTACTATTATTACTACTACTATTATTATTATCGTCATTATTATCATCATTATCACTACTAAATCATGATTGTTATTATGATCATTATTATTATCATTATCATTATTATCAACATCATGATTATTATCATTACTATCATTGATTTTTTTATTATCATTATCAATATCATTTTTGTCATTATCACCATTATCATAACTAGTATTACTACAATTATCATTATCATTATCTTCATCATCACTATCATTATTGTTGTTATCATCTTCATCCTTATTATCATCATTATCATCATTATTATCATTATCATTATCATTATTATTATTATCATTATTATTATCATCATTATTATTATTATCATTATTATTACCATCATTATTATTATTACCATCATTATTATTATTACCATCATTATTATCATTACCATCATTATTATTATGATGATTATTACTGAAATCATTATCCCTATTGTTATTATAATTATTACCATTATCATTATCATTATTATCATTATCATTATTAGCATTATCATTATTATTAGCATTATTAGCATTATTAATATTAATATTAATAATATCATCACCATTATTATTATTATTGTTATTAGCATTATTAGCATTATCATTATCATTATTAGCATTATCATTACCATTATTATCATTATGTTTTTCATTATATTATCATTACCATTATTATTATTATCGTCATTATCGTTATCACTATTACTATCCTTCCATGCCCTATACATCCTATCCTTTTGCCTATTCTTCTTTCACGCTAATCCATTTGTCTGTTTTGTTCCCTCGAGGACACAGCGCTTGTCCTATTTATTCATGAGTTCCTAACGTTGTTTTCTCGCGCGT